AAAATTGCGGTTGCAGTCATCCTGGAGGCTATTCGATTCGACTTTTGAATGAAAGGAGCGTAATTGACGGTGCAAATTTGTGTCCTCTGTGGTTGGTGATTCTCAAATCAGTTTGAAATAGTGTCGGAGACACCTTTTTAGCTGCGATACAGTTGGCCGTGAGCTGTAGTGAGCTATACTTTGCTCGTTGCTGTGACCTGAAACAGACTCAGAACATTCGCATCGAAAAGCAAGGTTATGTGTTTATTTTAAGTGATTTGAAGAGGTGATATTTTGATGTTTCATTCCTGACATCAATCAGTGTGTCAACAGTTATTTTGATACTGAGAAAAGGTGATTTTTTTAAATAAATTAATCTCATAAACAATTTGTTTATTGGGTTTGTTAAATTCGAGATAAAGCAATGGTTCTCGGCTTACCAATACCAATTTTGTGCTTTGTTTAGTTTGGCTCTACTACCGACTGAGACTGCTCGAGTATTTTTTCTGAATCATTTTTTTAAAAAGAAACGGCTTTATCTTTCTTCTTCCTGCTTCTCGTACCTGTCCAATGCCTGGACAAAACTTTTTTGTACGTTATCTTTTACCCGGTCACGTAACATACTATCTAAATTCTCAAAACTTTCCGCCATTTTAAAACACAGAGGGAAAAAACTTTGTAATGATGACGTCAATCGTGCGTCTGTCCTCTAATAGCTCATAGGCGAGAACCAATCAAAATGCGAGAATAACTTGGGTTATCATATAATAAGATTTTTACAATAACCGACTAATTTCTCGCTCGCCGATTGGCTCATTTTTATCATCAATAAGAGTACAGACGGATAAAAGTTTAATTTATGTAACCTTTCAAGTTCAACTTTCAGCTGTGAAACTGTCAACGTTTTAACCAATGAGATTTTATGATTTTTTTAAGTAGCCAATCAAAAAGCGAGAAAAGCTATTGACAATGTTCGCGTCGTTTTAAATAAAATTCACTTATCCTTGTTTACAGCAAGTTTTCTATTTTCTGAAATGTTGCTTTGTTTTTGTTTTTGCGCTTTTTTTAAAATTTTCTCTATCTTCTACGTCAGAAAAAGACAAACAAGAGTACAAGAGTGTCGACACGCTGTTGTTTTCTGTTGGTCATTCAAGAAGTCGCCATACACTGCTAGCTTCACTTCTGGACGGACACCCTCACATGGTTGTAGCCAATGAGAAAAATCTGTTCTATCGCCTGAGGCAGAGGAGCGAGTTCAAAAGAAACGAGATATTTGATATGTTAGTAAAGGGCTCCAAAAGCTTTCTGAAAGGTGGTAAAGGCATGGTCATGAGTGGAAATCTGCAAAACGCAACTCACTTTGGATTCTGGATGGAAGGTTACTGGCAAGGAGCTTATGATCAATACATTCAGGTAATTTCCAAGATTCACTCTGTGCAGGGATTTAGGTGCCTAATGAGACTGCCGAGAATCTAAAACCACAATTTGAATTCGAAAGATCTGTTTCCAGGCCAAAAGTGCCCATTTAGTTCTGGAGACCCAAGGACTGATTTAGTCTCGGATCTAACGGAGCTATTTGAGCACAATTATGGCTAAAACATCCGATATAGATTCAAAAAACTATTTCTCATGTCAGCCAGTGCATCTATATCAGATAGCCAAATGTACATAGCCAAATTAGTTCTCCCACAGACTTTATTCAGTTGAAACGGCCCCAATTTTGAGGGCTGCAGATTCTTTGAGATAGCAGTCAAATCACAATAATGTTCACGCACTGTGCGCTATTTGAGTTTTGTTTTAGAATAAGTTCCCATGAAGACCAGGCGACAAAGAAAAAATATATATAGATAGATTTAGCCAAGCCTAAACGCGGAGCTGGATTGCTCAAAGCCCGATTATGCTAACTCAGCATAGACGAGAATTTTTATTTGATTTTTGTGACTTTGCGTTGAGGTTTTCTGTTTATATTGTTTGGTCTTCTGTTTGAGTTTGAATAATCTCAAACTACACAAAACATAAGCAGTGAAAAACATTTTTAAACAAGAAAATTTATACTTCGGTTAACTTTGGCGTTAACCGGCTTTCGAACATTCCGGCCCTGATTATAACAAGTGAACCTGACGAAATGAGCCCGCGATCCAATAAAAAACCAGCACTTGGTCAGGGGTCGACTTTAAAAAACACTTGATCTCGATGAGTTTTTTTTTGCAGTAGCGCCATAACCCTATCATCCAATGTGACTTTCCGCTCTTTTCCACCTGTCTATGTAATTGGGGAAAAGACTGCTTGGTTAACATCAGGCGTATTTCGCAACACGCCGAAGGAAGAACTCACCAGTTTAATAAATGATATTGAAAAGAGATAAAGAGTCATGGTCAAATTTATCCACATTATAAGAAATCCGTTCGACGTCGTCTCGACAATAGAGACCTTAAGCACCAGGTCGGGAGCCACGCCGACGGCATACCGGAAGTTTATTTTCTGTCCCAGTCATGCGCAGAACCTGAGAAGCTGATTTCAATCTGCCTTCGTCCTGACGTTGGCGACGCCACATTCACTGTTTTGACGTAGTGCGGACAACGTGATAGTTCATCGCAAAGTTTTGAATCCTTTTCTTTGATTTACCGTATTTTTTCTCACCACACGTAAAAAAGTACCTTTCTGGCGTTTACTGTTATACTTTTTTTGAGAAATTTTACGATGAACATCCCTGAAGCAGAAACATATGCTAGCACAAGCCGCCAGTCGGCAAATTTACAGAATAACACAAGCTCGAAAAAATCCATTCGGTAAGACCTACTGCATTTATATCTTCTATGCTCTAGTTATCCCAGATCTAAATTAACATGGCCAACGAAACTGGGGCAACTTACCTTTTCCTCCAAGGCAAAATAAATGCACCCTATTGTTTACATTTTAACGTCGTTTAACTTTTTTAGCCACCAGAAATCGTTTCTAAAACTGAAACTAGAAAATTCCCACCAAAACTTTCACTCCTCTTCACATCTCTTGATTGAAATGCTTTGAACGAGAAAGTTAAGATAAGCAGCTTGAAATGTCCGTTTTATTGTGATAATTCAACAACTCTGCAATGTACTGGACTGAAGAGCATGACAAATTGATGCGTCGTGAGATTCTTGCTGTAGATCCATTCGGAGTTGCCGTCGCAGCGTTGCTTAACATGCTCAGGCGAGTGGAACGCGACGCCGGTCTCGCCCCAGCCTTTACGCGGATGTGCCGTCGCCGTCGCCATACCCCGTCTTGGTGCTTAAGGTCTCTAATAACTCTGAGGAACACCAAAAAGGAAGGAGGCAGGCTCAGAGACCATGCCAAGAAGGTGAGTCCCCGCGCAACCAACACCTCTCAAACTCATTAATAATTCTTTAAGTTTAGTGAAAGGAAATCATGATCGTGACCGTGTTTGGATATCTGATCTTAATTAGCATAGATTTTTGCGATTTAAATTGTCCAATTTCTTTTTAGTTTTACTTTCGATTGATAAGGTATACCAAACACTCAAGACAGTGTTTGACCACATTTCCAAACACCTCGAAGTTCGTCGAAAATACTGCGCTGCGCGTCGTATTTTCAACTATCCTCTGTGTGTTTGGAAGTGTTGAGAAACACGATCTGTCTTGTTTGATACATTATGTGCTCAGTTAATGAGTAAGCCCAAGGCAGGGCTTGCCAATCAAGGTTAACAGATAGCCGGTTAAAACGGCCAAGAAGCTATATTACAAAGTACCATTTTGAGAGCATGGACTAAAATGGTACTTCACTCTAGTTAAGAATCAATTAGTGAAAAAAATGTCATTTAATTTCGGATTCACTTCCTCAGGTCGATGATCCAAAATTGCTGGAGCACAGCATGGGGAGGTTCTTCAGCTGGGCTGAAGGAAGTGCAGTTGCCAGGGAGATCCTTGTAGATAAGCTGCTCGACGTAAACGGTCTTGAACTGGTTAAAAACCCACTTATAACTATGTCCAAGATCTGCCAGTTTATAGGAATCACGTGTTCTGGCGACTTTCTCTAGGCATGCGCAAAAGTAGTTGATCCAACACCGTCAACCACAAAACACTATGTGGTATGGAGCGAGGAACGCATGGATAGAACGTTTTTAGAGATAAAACAATATCCGTTTCTACCTCATTGCACTTTTGATAGTTAGAATTGAATTACTATAGTTTAGTTAAAGTAGGATGGTTAATTAATTAATTACTATTATATGCATGGAAAGCTCACATCACCAGCAGCCTGAAGGAAGGCCAATCATTTTACTAGGAGATTGTTACGCTCAGGAAAGCGCGAAGAACGAGCCTCTCGCAGCGGGAAGACCCTCTCGTGCCGGAAATGCGAACCATTCGGAAGCCTCTAGTCCCAATAAACTGTTAAAATTGACCCAGGCCAGTCTCGTAGACTGCACCGACGGACGCTCCGTGGTCCAGGTTTTACTCGTCAAGTCCGGAACAACTCCTGGTACAGCTTAGCTAGAGATACAGTACCAAACAATTGCCATTTTCAGGAAGTTAACTACCATATAACTTGTATTAGTTAAGCTGTAGCATTAATTTAAACCCACCATTATTTTAAACCCACGAAAAAGTCGGTGTTTGAGTCTAGCTGTGGATCATCACGACCGGAGCATGTCTCGGCATTACTTTAATTAAAGGCACGATAAATCTGAGCTAAAGTTGCCCTTTAGTTACGCTTAGCATCAATCAATAGTGTCAGAGGGAATCAAGTAGAAGGGTGAAGGTCTCGGGTGAAGGTCGACGAGAACCACGGATGATCGCTCACCAGAAGAGGAACCTGAAGAGGAACAGGAAAAAGAGGAGGATAGTAGCAGCTCCAAAGAAGAATGAGAAGTGGAGGACGATGAACCAGACTACGATCCGTGGAA